TGCCTTATTCCCTGCTCTCACTCCCTGCCTTCATTCCCTGCCCTCCATCCCTGCCTCATTCCCTGCTCTCACTCCCTGCCTTCATTCCCTGCCCTCCATCCCTGCCTCATTCCCTGCTCTCACTCCCTGCCTTCATTCCCTGCCCTCCATCCCTGCCTCATTCCCTGCTCTCACTCCCTGCCTTCATTCCCTGCCCTCCATCCCTGCCTCATTCCCTGCTCTCACTCCCTGCCTTCATTCCCTGCCCTCCATCCCTGCCTCATTCCCTGCTCTCACTCCCTACCCTCACTGCCTACCTCTGTTCCCTGCTCTCACTCGCTGCTTTCACTCCCTACCCTGCCCTTCTGCATTCATTCATGACCCCCACTCCCTGCCCTCACTCCCTCTGTCCCAAGGCTCTGAAGGCCCCCGCAGCATCCCCATCCCCATTCCCCCATGGAGTAGAGTGGGAATACCGAGGGGACACCAGGGAGCTTTTTTAGCACATGTAACAGTTCAACAGCCACAAGAAACGTCCCCATTTAAGTCTAATCTTTAACCAAAGCGTTTCCAGCTTCGCTTTAGGTCGGGTTTTAGCTCTGCTGCCTGGTTAAACTTTCCCCTCCTGCAGCCGCCCTCAGCCACCTCCCTCTCCCCGGGCACTCCCCTGCAGGAGCCTGCGGTGCTTTGCCCCGGTGTTTGCACTGGAGCTGCTCGGACACGCAGGGCACGGGCAGGAGGGAGAGCGGGGGGGGACGAAGGGTAACGCCAGGGTCTGGGAAGGGGCAAGCAAGGGGCTGCGCTGGGACAAGCAGGGGGACCAGAGGGGGAATCCCGGCATGTCCCGGGGTGAAGGTGCGGGATGGCGGCATGGAATGGCATCCAGGAGCAGCTCCCGGGAGGCTGAGGGGGCTCTTCCCATGGCCCATGGGCTGGAGGGTTGCAGAGACTCGGGGATGCTGTGTTGGGCAGGAGGGGCAGGACATCATCTCCTTCCCACCTTTATTTCACAGCCCGGAGGAGGAGGCGCGGCGGGGAGAGGTGGCACCAAAGCCGTCAGCAGGTAAGAGATGGGGATGTGGGACTGGAGGGGCTGCACTGTGGTGATGGGATGTTCCATGGGGAGCTTCCCTGCGGGGACCCACAGCCCCACAGAACGGGCTTTCTGTGTGAACTTGAGGTGCTCCGGGATGTGGGTGCTGGTGGGGTGATAGCAGGGATTCCAGTCCCTCTGGATGGTGGGCACAGGGACATGCTGTCCTTCTCCCTCTGCCCCTTTTGAGTACAGGATACCACCTCCCCTCCCCATTCCATGGAACCCCTCAGGAATCGTTTGACACATGGGTTTGGGATCTCCCATCGGAACACAGTGACACATCCCCATGGATGCTTGTCTCCCCCAGGCCGCCCATCCTGAATCCAGAAAGCATCACATCGGCCACCCCATCCTACCGCCTCCCCCATGGCGTGTGAGATGTGTCCAGGCGGGATGTGAGGCACCTCCAGGGCTCTCCACAGGGAAGCTGAGCCGAAAACATCCCTTGGAGCTGGATCCTCAACCCACACGATGCTGAGCATCAAGTTACCCCGGCTGCTCAGCATCAACCAAGTGCCTAAGGTCAGAGAGGAGGTTTTCTTCCTCAAGGCTGAGGTTTGGGGGGGTTTTGGGGGAGGATAAGTGGGAGCACTGTGTTCAGTGTCTATTCCCCTTGGGAAGGGCTCAGTCCCTCCATGGGGGACGGGTCACAGCTCTGTCCTTGCAGCAGGGGCCTGAATTATGGTCTCCCTCCTTTTGGCACCCTTCAACCCTCCCCTCCAACTGCCCCCCGTGCCTTGCAGGGGTACCATTTTTTTCGCCCGCCCCGGAGCTCGGCAGCAGATTGCCTCCTCAGCGTCTTCCAGATGACGAATGAGACACTCAACATCTGGACGCACTTTGTGCCTGCCTGGTGGGTACCATCCCCTGGGGCTTCAGCATCCACGGGAGGAGGCGGTGGGTCTCCATGGTGAGACAAAGGAGCAGGGATGGGGACACCCATGGGTGCGGTGCTCTCCTCTGTCCCATAGGTACTTCGTGTGGACCCTGGTGGGGCGGCTGCAGGGCCCGGGGGGCCGGGAGGACCCCAATGCCTGGCCCCTCCTCGCCTACCTCCTGACCTGCTGCATCTACCCGCTGGCCTCCAGCTGTGCCCACACCTTCAGCACCATGTCCACCCGCGCCCGGCACGTCTGCTACTTCTTCGACTACGCTGCTCTCAGCGTGTACAGCCTGGGTAAGGATGGGGGGCAGGCAGAGGTGTCCGTGGGGTGCTGGTCCCCAGCGTGCCAGGAGCTGCAGCATCAGGCTGAACACTGGATGCTCAGATGGGTCCTGCCCATGAGATGCAGAGGTGGAAGCTGCTTGTGTGTAGTTTCCATTCCTCCTCTTCCTCCTCCCTGCAGCCTGGTGCTTGGGAAGAGCAGGTTGGACAGAGCCTTGGAGCAACCTGCTCTAGTGGAAGGTGTCTCTGTCTGTGGCAGAGGGTTGGGACTGGATGATCTTAAGGGCCTTTCCAACCCCAGCCATTCTATGATTCTATGAAGCATCTCTCACACCACCACAAATAGTAATTTGGGGCTGCATTTCAAACTGGGCAGCCCTGGGATGGAGGCCTGGCTCTGGGACACTCTTCAGTCCTTGTAGTAAAGTGAATAAGGGTAAAAACCACATTAAAGACAAACACTGTCAGTGGAGCTGGTGGCACCTCACTGGGGACAAGCCCAGGGTAAGCAATAGCAGCAACCCGGGTCTTTGCATGTCCCAACGTGCCTCTGGTTCCTCATGGACAAGCATCTGCAGGAGCTGCTTGTTGGAGCGTCTCCTGATGCTCCCTTTGGCCGCTTCACTGCTCTTCTACGTCCATTCATCCCTCCCTTTCCTGAGGCCAAACGCAAGCTCAGAGGTTCACAGCTGCTCCCCTGAGGATGCTGAAGGTGCTGGAGGGACCGGAGCTCACGGGGCTGCTCCTGTGTTCCCAGGATCCGCGCTGGCCTACTCGGCGTACATCTTCCCAGCGGGGTGGGTCGACAGCACCTTCCACCACTGCTACGTGCCCATCGCCGTGTTCAACACTGTCGTCAGCACCAGCCTGTCCTGCTACTCCAGGTAAGCTGCTGCTCTACCTCTGTGGATGCTGCAGCACGATCAGTAACTGGCATTAGCAGTGAAGGGTTTCGATTACAACGATGAGCCTTGAGTTCAGGAGGGAGGGATAAAAGGGACGTTTGGGGTGGGAAAAGTGTTGCCTTGTTGGCACTGGGAGAGTTTGATGATCAAAAATGCAACATGAATGAAGCAGGTTTGATTTGTGGAGGTTCAGAAGGTCACTTCCCATGGTGCTGCCTGGCGGGAGAACGCGTGTCTGTGTGTCTGTGTGTGTGTGTGCAGGTGTGTTTACACGTCTGTGTGCTTATACACGGGTGCAGCAGGTTTGCAGGGGGAACCGCAGTGTTCCTGCACCATTCCCAAAGCACGAGCAGCTCCGGGTGCGCAGGAGTTTGTTCCTGGCTGGCATTAGACAACTTGTTTGGAATAGCTCGAACAACCGCTGGGCTGGCTGCCTGTGCTGCATGTGGTGCTAGACCCCTGCCTGCCCAGGGCTCACTTCACTCATGGGAGAGCCCTCCCTGAAGGCCTCCTGTGTGTCCCTGCACCAACAGGCAGTTGCTGTGCAGAATGGTCAATCCCTGCTTCCACGAGCGCCGTGAACCACTTGGCATCGCTCCTGCCCTCCATTCTGTGCTTTGGGGTGCCTCTGGCTGTGGTTGCTCATCACATAACCCCGGGGGTCTTTCCTGCCTGTGCCCCCAGCACAGGGCTGTGTTTGGATGCTGCTGCGCTGGTAGGGGTAAAGATGCCACTGCAGGGTGCGATGCGTCGACACGTCTCTGAGAGGAGAGTGCTGAGCTCCCGGTATTCCTGAGAATTCCTGTCTGTTGAGTGCAGGAATATCCTCTCACCTTTTGGTCTGTGGTTACTCGCTGGAGTAACTCCCTGGGGTGAAAGATTAGTACCTACCCTTGGCATTACAGAGTGGTACTGCAAAGTGAAGGATCTCTCTCGGATCTCACAGTGCATGATGCCAGTAGGGGCTTGTGTTCTTTCCTTATATTCCTCGTTTCTTTCCTTCTTTTTGCCTCTTTTCCCTCTCATTGTCTCATGCATCTCTATTGTCTCATTAGAGGGGCTTAGCAAACTAAGCTCACTGCCCGTGCGCTAATCCTGGTACTCACCACGTGAAGATAACTCTTAGGAAATAATCAGCAACTTGAGATGAGTCCCAGGTTAATTTGGATTGTTTTAAAGAACAAATATTGATCCACATTTTGTCAGCATCTCCCTGTCAGTACAGGTTCAAGCCATTCCCCTCGTCCTGTCCCTACATCCCTTGTCCCAAGCCCCTCTCCAGGTTTCCTGGAGCCCCTTTAGGCACTGGAGCTGCTCTAAGGTGTCCCCTTCAGGAGCCTTCTCTTCTCCAGCTGCCCCAGCCCAGCTCTCTCAGCCTGGCTCCAGAGCAGAGCTGCTCCAGCCCTCGCAGCATCAGCCCAGCACAGGGGGGTAGTTCTGGGCTCAAGTTGAAGCTGTGTCACGGGGAGCTCCTGGAGCTGTGCAATGGGTGGTGGTGCTGGGAGGGACCTGCCCGGGCACAGCAATGCTGCCGGGGCTGCTCCACAGCCGCTCCCTGGGCTGGGCTCCGCGGGGGGCCGGGGGCCCTCGCGCG